GTCAATCAATATCACCCAGTCACATAGACAATAGACGATCTCAAGCCACAGATCATTATCGATAACCAAAAAATAGTTAACTATTCATAATCACCTTTCCATTCTTAGTATAGAGGGAGACTTTGCACAAAAGTCGATTGCTTGGGTACCTCTGTCCCATTCGTGTTTCAATCGTGAAGCAGTTGTGTTTGCATGGCTGTGTTTCGGTTTGAAGAGTGAGATATGGCGTGAATTTACTGGGTACAGAGAAATAACACCAGAGTCCTCAAGAGTGGCAACACATGGGGGGTATCATAGGCGAAACAGTGTACTCTGTTATGTCCATGGTACTGCTCATGTCTATAGGCGACAGTTACCACTTTCCATCAGGTGGGCCGTCAGCTTGTTTGCCATTCTAAGTTGCATTGAGAAAAAAAATTTCGATCATAAATAAGCAAATACTCCACGATCCATTTTCGTTAGAGAAAGTTGTTCAGTTTCATTCAGATTATCGGTGTGTGAATATAAAAATATTTAAAATCAACTGCATTTCCATTCCACAAATGCATACCTATAGTTGATTTCCGTATAGTAACCGTGTAAAGTTTTGTCTTGAAGACGTCGGAAGTGGCGGATAAAACACTGTGCTACTCTGTAGTATAAGGAAAACTTAAAATAAATCTCTTGACTAATACTTATCCTCCTGAGTAGAAACCCGTAATCAATTAAAAAAAAATAAAATATCTATATATATCTATATATATATACAGATACACTTCACAGAATAGGATACTCAAATAAATGCATGCACGCGTCATCGCAGTTCTTTAGAACGTGGTATCATTATATAAACCGGTGAATATAATGAATGACACACGCGCATGACAACGAACGAACGTTATATTCTGTTTAAAACACACACGTTTACCACGAATACGTATTCACCTTTTGTTATCACCTCAATGGTCTTAAGGTGAATAAATTAGGGCATTGACACAGGAACTATCCTGTCTCCATATCTTGGCATATCTTTGGCTTATAATCTTGCCTCGCAGTTCGAAGGGGACGTGAAGAGGTCGTTCGATAAGCCACGTCACAGGCTTTCAAGTATGACTAAGGAGGCCTAGAAACACCTCACATCAGAGGACGACACTCTCAATATTAGTAGTACTATCTTCTATTACTAGTATTTACATTTCAAGAGACTGGTAGTAGTAGGTTGTTTGGTGTAGATTTTTACTATAATTTTTTTTAACAGTTATTATAAATAAATTACTGTTTTCCCAAATTGTGTATTATTAAAACTTCATCCCTTTTTCTAATAATATAAACCATTACAAATGAAGTATATATTTATTACCTAATACTGATAAATTAAGTACATAATCAAAATAAGATATATTTTCATATTTTCTTTTCAAAAAGCATTCAAAATACATTAAATATAAGATATTTGAAATATTATTATTTTTTATTATAGATGTTTAACCTATTATTGACCTAAAACATATACATCCACATTTAGTATATAACCAAACCGCAGAAACATGCATTTCTGATCAATCTATCATTCTACATCTGACTCACTCAGTCGCCACATAGATGACTTTATTCAGCGACTAACTTTTACCCACGACTTTGTCCGCGTAACTGGCATGTTCACTGACCAGGACAAAAGTTAGCCTATATCCTACTTTTATTGGTTAAGCCGTTAAGACAATAACAGGTAACACACAAACAAACACTCTTTCACATTTATAATTTTATTTTTATATACCACTGAGGTGACAAACAAGCATACGGCCCACCTGATGGTAAGCGGGTTAATGAGGATGTATAATTATTAAACGCCATGGTTGACATAAACATTCACACTACTAGGTCCAATATTCACTGTATGAAATGACGATACAAAATTCCCCCTTTATATGTATTGATATTCCCAGTGAGTTGACTTTCTAACCGATGTTTGGAATCGTTTTTATTTACTACAGTCATCGTATTTATGACTGGCCAAGTTTCTCGGGAATTTTTAAATGAGTCATACATTATTAAATGTTTGTAGATTCAGGGGCCTATTATTATATGTGGCGCCATTCTCTAAATTTGAAAATTCAATTTCCAATTAAAATTTAAACTTTCTTTATTCAAATAGACTTGTTTACAAGCATTTTTATTTTAAATTTATTGCAGGGTTTGAAAAGTTATTATCTGGTGAAAAGAGCCTTCAAGAAACTCAATAGTTACACTTTAAAATCTCTATTTACATATGTTTATTACTATATCTAACATGGTCATAAAAAAGCCCGCGCATAAACGACTAAAACCATGCAATGCTAAACATTTAGTCTGTTTTATTTGGCTTTGTTCAATAAGTATTTAAATTAACGGTTTTAAATTTATTAAAAATTAGATACAAAATATTCTTCAGTATCTAATTATAATATTTAATGTCACTTCCCATAAAAGACCTATATATTAGTTTTTATTTAGAATAACTAATAAATATTTAGAATAACTAATAAATATTTAGAACTAAATTTTTGATAGATTTAAGTCGATATTATCACAAAACCTAGGTCTGTAAAATAGTATTTTCACAAAACAACTAAATTAAAATATTAGTTTAAAAAATATGGGAAGGTTCATAGAAATGGCGCTACACAATTAACCTCACTATCATTAATGTATGGGTAAACACATTTTATTTGTATGTAAAAATAGAAGCTATTGCCACTCTGTCCTCTTTACCTGTCCCATTAAGTAAAAGTTAGCGTGAAGATACAAACTATTAGAATAATCATACTCCTTCAGAATTCTCTTAATCTATTATTAACCGGCTATAAAAAAATTGTCAAGCGTGGCATCTACTAGCGAAATTCCCTTTATGGGGAAAGCTTATGTTCAGCAGTCGAGAGTTAAAGACTAAAATAATAATAATAAATATAAAAGTATTAATTGTTATTATATAAAGTGCTTTTATAGAAAATATGAAATTCAATCATTTCGCCTCTGAAATGACAAGTCGCAGAAATAAAAAAAAATTAAAAAGACGTATTCCATTTGAGTAGTCATCCAAATGGGATATTTCTCTTTAATCGATTTCTTTTTTAAGTAATCATTAAAAAAATCTTCAAATATATGATTATAGTCGCTTAGCGTATAATAATGGATAAGAATATAATACACCAGTACAGGAGAAAGAATACTTATATTGTTTATTTCAATAAAACTTAATGAAAATATAAAAAAAAATTACTGGAGCATAAGACAGTCTGCTGATATCCAATAATATAGACAGTACAGATTAAAAATCGATTAAATGATTAATGTAAATTAGAAAAAATTGTTCGTTATTAATTTCATTTAGGAAGTCTGTGTAATAATTTCAATAAAACTTGGTTACCTTTCAATTATATCCTATTAAACAGATTATAGTAATAAGTCGCCTCTTTGCATAGTAATGGACACTGCAAACTAAACAAGCATATGGCCCAACTAGACCTAATGCCCAAAAAATTTTTGCAGATTTTGTCACAATGATGAACAAATGCCACAGCACTTAATTAGTGGTTGTAGCCCACTCATACATAAACGATATATCTCCTTTGGAAAAACATCTTATAATTCCTATCACTGAAAGGAATTAGCAGCAAACATTAAAAAGGAGCGCACACAGAAGATCATGGAACAGTCGCAGTGTCACAAGCTTTTCTGCTAGTTGTTTGCTGATATCTGCCTTTTATGAATGAAAAAACACCCGCGCCAGACGTTGAGGGATTGTTATGTAATAAGATGCGTCCTCTTACCTATCATTGTTAGTGCCTCTTTTTATCCACATTAGAATTATCATGATTTTAGCATACCATAACATAACCAAACCATTAATGCGAGTATTTGCACGACTCGTTTGAAGGTTATTATTGTAATTCCTGTTCAAGGTGACTCTCCGCAAAAACTGATCCAACTATATGGAACTATCTATGTATATATTGACTTTTTAGAATACGACAAAACAATGTAAGGATAGAACATATAAAGTGTAGATTCTGAATAAATTTTACTGGATTAAAAATTCTTCACAAAATTATTATTTTGCGGAAATTGCCTAATTCTATATCACTGGTTAGTTCATTACAATTATTTTGTTTAATTCCGTTATGGCAATGGTTGCAAAATTAAACAAAATAATTCTAGTCGATTAACCCATAATTCTAAAGATGACTGCAGGTAAATGAGACGCGAATATTAAGATAGATGATATGCTAACGATGAATAATATTATTATAACTAAAATATTACCAAATATAAACAAATTTTTAATCATAATAAAATTATAAATGAATCAATAATATATAGAATATCAAAATTATATTTATTATACAACAATATGACTGTAACATGTGTAACTTTAACAAGTAATATATTAAAAAGTGGGTAATCTAAAAAAATCTTAATCTAAATATTCTAAGTACCTTTTACACAAAAATGTACATATATCAAAAACCATATTCAATATGTACATAAATTATGTTCCACCTTACGCGTAGTTACAACGTGCCTACCATTTTGACGAGTGTTTAAAACTATTTAAAAAAAAACACATTGTGTTCAGCGTTACCCATGTCTAATAGTCATATCTATATATACCGTCTTCTTTTGTATGCACATTGTATTTATTCAAAGAATTTATGATTCTGTCTCTTGTTTATCGAACCTATATATTTCAAATAAAGAATAACATCAAAACCTAATGAAAAACAATTAAATTCTGTTGAAATTGTCACAGATACAGACTCTAAATGAAATTAGTAACAAATAGAAGGTTCAACCAATTAATGGATTCTTTACTTCTATTCGATACTGTTAGATATCAATAGCTGTCTCATTTTCTTATGGCCATATTGAGAAATATAACTTTTAATCACAATAAATGCCCTGATAAATTTATTTATGAGAAAAAATCGTATCAGAGAAAAACACAGGTAGAATAATTAGATGAATATAGATAAACTTCTTGATTAAATTAGAGATCTTTATTTCAAATAAGTCTTTAAAATGCAACATTTAACATTTTGCAAAATTATTAATTTCTGAAAATAAACCTGAGTTTTATGTCTTTATATAATAAGACATTAGCTCAAGTACAAAAAATAAATTTTAATAACATTACAGGTATATATACTATTATATCTAAAGTAGTGTTTGTTTTTCACGCGGAAGCGTTTGCAAATATCATAGTGGTGCTAATTAGCATAATGTCCAAATTTCATATTCGGCGCGTTCGTGATATACACTTTTTTTTTACTATAACTTCATTTTTGACAAACTGAAATGCAATGTAAAATCAAATTTTAAACCTTACACAAACTACACACCTGAGAGCCTACCATGAAATATTTTCCGAAATTTCGGAGACTAAAGAAACAGAAATTTGATGTTAAAATTACATAATACATGCCGTTTAAAATTATTGAAAATGTTAAAATATCGTTCCTCTGGACTATTAGGATAGGATTTATGATGAACGAAATGTTAAGCTCCATTTACTGGGTCGGAATTTCATTTAATGGTAGACCGCCTGATCATATTTCAACCCATTGTTACTTTGGAAGTTAAAAGTTTGTAAATATTGCACCTATATTTCTGATTTCTCGAGCATTTTGTTATGCCTTATATATGTATATTAATAAATTCTTATATCACAACATTTTCAATGCAAAAGAAAATATGCAAGTTTAAATAAATGTGTGTACATTCTAATCTGGCTAAAAGTTTGTCGAAGATGACTTTATGATTTTTCGTTGCTCGATCACGCTTAAATGGCTGGACTTATTTGAATGACGTTGGGTACACAGATAAATACTCGTATTATTTAACACATAACAAACTTATTACTTTTAATTTAGTGCTAAGGTTTTTTATCTTTAACAAACCGCGTTGTAAATTTGATAGAACTCTTTATAGCTGTCTAATAGTAGTGTATATAAATTTTACATAATACATACATATTATTTCTAAGTAAACAAATCTATAGACTACAAATCTATAATAAATCATAAAATATCTGTCTAATCTAACAGAATCAGATGTCAGATTTCCCCATTTAGTTCTTTGTTAGTCCCATTTTGTCCTAGTTACTTTGGAATAGAATAGGCCACTCCTTCCTTTTCCATAGCTATCGTAAGAGCTGACTAAGGAAAGGCGAGAGATAGGCAGCAGCGTCCGTCTTAAAATATCTCTACAGCCTGACTGTGATTGCCAATCCACCTGCCAAACGTGGCAACTACTCGTTACCCTCCAGGAGGGAGGCTTATGTTCAGCAGTGGACAGTTAAAGGGTGGCAAGATGATGATGATGAAACAGTCGGTGAAAAAAGTTATGTCATATACACGACCATAATAAATCAATTTTGATAATATCAAACCCCCTGCAAAATCTCTTGCGAGTTATAATAAATTGTATGATCTGCCTATTATAGAATTATAGCCTATACATTTGTTTACCTAATAAATAATTTTACACGGTCATGCTATAAAATGTACTCTGTTACTTTGTTTTAGTAACATTACAAAATATCACAATTTCAAAGACATTTCAAGATAGTTACCCTAATAAATGTTAATATAGTATATTTAAACAGTATTTAAGTACATTTTATTACACGTGACAAGAAGATCTAACTGTATTTTGCATGCTAATTCTAGCAAAAGTGTCTTAAGAACTAAATACGAAACTATCTTCTTTTTATGACTAATTGTTTATCACGCTTTCATAAAATGGAAATCAATGTTTTTTTTTATTATTTTTTATACACTTTAATAGATAAAATGATAAACTATTTATAGCAAGCAATAGGTAAATATATACAATTTGATATTCAACCTTACCTATTTAAAATACTACACAGTTTCAATAAACAACGAATGTTAAAATGAAAGTAGCCAATAAACTTATAGTAGGAATGTTCCGTACCGCTGAATTTCGCTTTAATGATTGATCAGCATACGCTTGCAAAAGGCCGCAGTCGATGGTCTTCCTCATATTACTAACAGGAGTGGTTCTTATAACATAACACTTCATGCCTGATGTCACTTCAATTGGTTTTCCTTTCACGTCCAAAGCATTGGTAATGGTTGTATTGGTTGTCGTTGTTGTTACTGTTACCGAGGAAGTCGATGTGTTCGTTGCTGCGTTCAATGTTGTATTGGCAGGAACTAAAGTGCCATTTGGTAACATCATTTCTCCACCAACTGGGGTTAGCGGTACCGGTTCTGGGTTTCCATTCACCGTCGTAACGTTCGTCACGGTTGTAGTTGTGACACTCGTATTATTAGCAACACTATTTGTTGGATTGTTTTGATTGCCCCCTTGGCTTTGGAATATGAAACTAGTTATAATCTGACAATCAATTCTTGTTTCTTCATAATCACCATTGTTATTTCTCAGGCCGAATTTACACACTTCACCTGGTTGAGGTTTGTATTGAGAACTACCGCTGCCATGACTGTGTGCATAAGCAGCGCTGCCTGCAACGCCAGCCAAAGCACCAAGGTTGAATAACGCCAGACCAGCCAACAAAGTACCGTATTTACTTCCTGAATCCTTGTATTGGTAAACGTAAGTTGGAGGTGGACTGTGATATACAGGAAAGCTCATTGCACCAGATGGACTTGTATACCTGATTTGTTGTGGCGGACTGTAGTGGTAGTGATTATGGACGGTCGTGTGGCTATTGTAAGTTGTATGCGTATTTCCTGAACTCGGGTATCCATGACTTTGTGGTCTAGACCCTGATCCAGATAGGCCTCCAGAGCTTGGATACGAATGACTCCCTCCGGAAGAAGGATACCCATGACTTTGTGGTTTAGATCCTGAACCAGATAAACCACCAGAAGATGGGTAAGAATGTCCTCCGCCTGACAAACCACCAGATGACGGGTATGAATGCCCTCCACCTGATAAACCGCCAGATGATGGGTACGAATGTCCTCCACCAGATAATCCACCTGAAGGGTAACGATGTGAAGAATGCGAGCCCGACAGACCGTGAGAGCTCGGATATGAATGTCTGCTTCCCCCACCACCGTAACTTCTTTTAGCGTCTGTGACGGGGTCCAATAAACAAATCACAAAAATTGTGCATAATAACACGCGTAAAGGTAAATACATTGTGAATTCCACTATATTTTTATGCAACAATACTAAATTCTAAAACACACAAAAGTAACATGCGTCAAACTCTTGCGCACTAAAATAACAACTGACGTACGAAATGAGAAATCGAGAACAATTAACTCCACAGATTAACTAAACAAGCCACAAGCAAGAGACGCAAATATAAAACAAGCAGCTATCCCGTTTCAACAGTGTTGCCCGTACGCAAAGTCAATTATTACACCTTTAATAAACAGATGACATATTTTTACATACATATAAAAATTTTGTAACTAATTATTTTTAATATTAAATTGTACATAAATAACAAAGTAAGTGACATAAGGTGTCAATAAACAAAGACAAAGTCTTTGATATGCTACAAGCCTTTAACGTTTCCTTCGTCGAAATGATCTTAGATTAAGAACTATGTCTAAAATAGTCTGATAAATTATTTGTTACAATGTTCAAATAGCAGCAAAAACTCAACGGATAACAATAGCAGAGTTTTGGAGGTGTGCATTCATTACGTGATCTTAATTATTTCGTGTAATCAATCAAAATTCATCAAGATATCAAACAAATTTAATTATTTCATTTTTTATTCATCAAATATGTATGGAGTCGTATATAAAAGTAGGAAAGTAAGAAAGTATCAAAGGATGACCTGGAACGGAGCTAGCTGGAAAAAAAATGCATGAATTAGTTGCCCTGACAAGAAGAAACTCTTAAATTTGAAGAGATATTCATCTAATAATTTTATTATTCTTAGGAGTTTATCTCACATAAAAGCGTCGCTATACGACCTTTATAACGACTAAATTTTATTGCATAACATACACACGAATACAAACGCATAATAAAAAATGCAATCAAATTTCAACCTCTTCCTATTCATGTAAATTAAAAATAACTGATACATCTGCAAAAATGATTATTAAACAACATACGTATAAAAACTTTAAATGAAATTAAAATATGTACATAACAAAATTCTCGTTCGAAATCAACAAATTCTTTCTATGAAAACTTTTTCTTATTGAAATCCACAGTCGAATATATTTTGTGCAATACATACAAAAAATTTTAGTTTTTAAGCGATTGTAATTGTAACATCGTTAAATGGGAAAATAATTTTGCATTTTTTGTCAAGTTATTGCTTTATAAAAAAATTACAATATCCCTCATAACATTTTATATTTTTATTATAGCAACACTCATCGAATGCTTGAGCAACAATAACCGTCGTATGAAAATACCAAACAAAAAATATTACCTGCACTGCACTACACTACATATTACTCTTACCTGAATATAAGATAAAGAGAACTATCTGTTCTCTTATCTTGAAATCAGATAATAAACAACCTGCTCAGAATTTTTAAGTTTATTCTGACATGTCGTGTTACGATAAGTACATTTTTTATCGCATTATTTTGTTTTTTTTTTTTTTATCTGTTGATAGCTGTTATTTTCAACGCTACAACTGCGAAAGTAAGTTTGTTTTCTGTTACTTTTGAGTTTGAATGTTCGTTTGTTACCTCTTAGCGCCTTAATGGCTTAACCAACCGTCATACTCATAAAATTCAGCCATATTAATTATAAATTAGAAAGGAGAAAGCTCCTTTTTTTATTCCATTCAGTCAAAATATAACAATCACGCGGACGAAGTCGCCCATAAACAATAGTTTTTAATAAGTACCTTATACTATTGTTTACTACTACGTATAATTTCCATGTTTGTTTACTTTGGAAAGTTAGGTAATTCCTAGAAAATTTAGTGTAAACTGTAATATGACATGTAGATAATTCATGTAAAATAAATCCTTAGTAATACCTAATACATATGTATATTGAGAAGTCTATTATTTAGAGTTATTATTATTTGTTATTATTACCAAAGGGAGACTTTGTACAAAAGTCGTTTGCTTGGGCATCTCTGTCCCATTAGTATTTCTACCGAGAAGCAGTTGAATTTACAGGGTACAGAGAACAAGATAACACCAGAATTTTCAGTAATGGCAACACATTTGGAGTATCATAGTCGAAACAGTATAGCCGGTTATGTCCATGGTACTACTCATGTCTATAGGCGACGGGTACCACTTTCCATCAGGTGGACCGTCAGCTTGTTTGCCATTCTAAGTTGCATAAAAAAAAAGTTTTTACGTCTCCACATCATGAACATGATACATTAGCTCTACGTACAACATAACTTTCAATTAGAATTGCCAAGATCTCCTTAGAAGTTAACGTTTTTGAAAATATGACAAAGAAATCTATAACTGCCTATCATACGACAATCATACTATTGCTGAGCATAGACATAGTATGACGCACTTAAATTGATACAGTATCAGCCATTAACTGTCTATTGTTAAACATTATGCAACAGTAGTTGCCACGTTTGGCATGCGGGTTGCCAACCGCAATGAGGCTTTGATGTTTTACGAGGAACGCTCTTACGACACCAACGGGAAAGGAAGGAGAGGTTCATTTTATGCCAAATTATGCCACTCAAATTTATATGACATGCTATTCCAACAATGCCTGTTTTTTTACAAGAGGATTACTCGTATTTTAAAGAATACTTATTTATTTTGATATACACAACGTACAAGATAAAAACAAAAAGAAATGAAAATAACAAAGTAACCAAATATAACTACTAGCTGTATCCCATGGTTTCACTCGCATGAATCTGTATGTAAAGTATTCTAACATTAAGCTAGGATATCCGTTTAGTAGTTTTTGTATACGAAAGTAATAAACATCCATCCTCACAAACTTTAGCTTTATAATTAATAATAGAAGGATAAGTTATTAGTTTTAGAAGGATAAAATCGTGATAATACTTATGATTTACAACTGAAAAAAAAAATATAAAGAAATAAAATTGACGTATTTTTTTAAGAAATAGAAAAATATAGATAGAAATAGATATAAAGATAGATAATTTATTTGCATCACTTACAGCACACAAACAGCAAAAGATACAAAAGCAAAGTGAAAAAAAAAATATGTATAAATGTTCCTTATATATTATTTACTAATCAATAAAACCCCGCATGAACATAATTCAGCTAAATCTCTATCAAACATAATATCAATACTGCCTACTAACATTAGCAGGCGCCGTGTCGCAGAATGGAGATTCGATATTTTTAATGGATTTCTTGTAGGTGATTCATAATCATCAAAGTATAACTTCTTTTTTATGAATCACAATATAAAGCAATTTATTCATCTTTTTGGTACATAATAGTACACTGTAAGATAACAAAATATTATCATTCTATAGCAAATAAATAACTTCTTAGATATGTAATAATGAATTCCTTCAATGATAACTCAATAGTGGTCACGAGATTTCGCCCTATACAAAATACACGAACTAAAAATTATAATATTCAAAGTATAAAGTATTACATTATTTAATTTTATATCATACATGAGGTATCAATATAAACATATAACACATAAAATTTGTTTTAATATTATATGTACTTAGTTTATCTATACTTATAATAAATCTGTAGAGAGGTAAATTCTGTACATGAAATATATTTCCAAAATAACTATCAGGTGATTAGTGATCGATACTGATACCAAAAATGCAATCAGTAAAATTTTTGTCTGTCTGTCTGTATGTTTGTTATAGAAACAAAAATTACTCGACAGATTTTAACGAAACTTGGTACAATTATTCTTCATACTCCTGGGCAGGTTACAATATACTTTTCATCACACTACGATCAATAGGAGCAGAGCATTGAAGGGAAATGTTGGGAAAACGGAAGAAGTTACTCCATTTTTAAGCTTCCGTCGAGTGTGCAGCCTTAATGGCCACTTTTTAAAATGTAAAAATGTCCACCCGTGCGACGCCGGGACGAGCCGCTAGTTCTATAATAAGGCCCTAATATCAAATCGAATAACAATTTTCATGTAAAATAAAATTACTCAGTAACGAATAGTACCTAATAGCAATTCAATTTATTCTACAAATTTTGACGTATATACGTATAACCCTTGCGATTAAAAAAGAGTCATCAAAATCACTTCAAACTTGATTTTAATTTAAAATATTTTAATAATATAAAATTCTTTACAAAACTAAAGTATTCAACACAAAAATTGTTAAATTAAAAAAAAATTATAATAATATATAAACATACATGTACAGACAAAAAAAATTACACAACACGCAATCATTATTATCATTACTTCTTATCAGTTACACTCATTTATACACTTATAAACAAAGACATCCACCAAGGAGGCTTCGCCAGCCAAGACTTTAGCTTTTGCCTTGAAGGCATAATGATACTTTCCTTTTTCTTAGGTTCTGGCATTTTCGCATACTCCAGTAACACGTTACAATCTACATTGTTTTGCAGATATCTATCTTTAGTTTGAATTTCCACAACACACTCCATTTTTGTCGAAGATACCGGTGGACCTTTGATCGATAAAGGATCTGTAGTATTTACCGTGGATGTACATACGGTACCATTTACAACTGTCACATTAAATAACGTTGAATTAGCAAGAGTCATGTTTTCATTAGTACTATTAACTGTGGTCACATTTGTTACACAGACTGTTTGATTCATGTAACTTTGTGATTTAGTTTCATTTACAGCATCCTTAGTAAATGTTGACACTATTTCACAGGGTATTCTCAGTATCTTTACTATATTATTGTCTTCCTTTACTTTCAGGGTACATATAGCTGAATCTTTTGGCCTGGTATTGGTTAGAGATGTGTAAGAATTTAAAGATTCGTACCGTCTTCTATAATAATCATCGTAATAGTAATGATCATGATAATGACTATGTGAACGACCTATATTGTATATCGCTAACCCAATCAAGAGGTCACTATATCGGCTCCCTGAATTTCTGTACTCATTTATATATACATACTGAGGAGAAGAATAATAGCTCGGAACACTATAATGTGGTATATTATACGTTTTTCCGTAGTGTGTGTTACCATTAGTATGAATATGGCCATTCAAATTTCCAGTGTTTGTATTGTACCAGTTATGTGATCTTGAACTATGTACTCCTGGTGACAGATTATTTCCTGAACCAGATAAACCTGTAGCAGCAGATGGATAACCATGTCCAAACCCAGGTGTTGATGTATATTGAGGATGACCTGCCCCAGATAACCTTGTTGGTGATTGTGGATAACTGTGTCCTGATCCAGATGATGAAGATGTAGAATAGACATGACTAGAATCAAGTTTTGCTATTAAAGGTGAACTGTTGTTACTAATGCCTGACAATCCTGTCGATGACATTGGGTAAATATGTCCAGTACCAAATTTTGAGGTCGTTGTTGGAATCGGAGGCTTATATGGACCAGATCCTGACATACCTGATGACGATGATGGATATTTACTACCAAATCCAGACAAACTTACATTTGATAGAGGACGACTGTTACTATAAGTAGCTATATGAGCAGTTCCAATAGATCCATTAGGCTTAGGAAGGGGAATAGGATGTGATTGTGGTTGAGTATTTGGACTATTTCCTGATAATCCTGTTGCTATTGGATAGCTTGGACGAATACCAGAATCGTGCGTTAGTATAACTGGCTTATTTGCTCCCGATAAACCCGTTAGGGATGGAGGATATTCTTGACCTGTGGGTTTTTTGTTGTTACTACCTGATAGCCCTGATAATGACGATGGATAACTATAGTTAGTTTTAAGCGGTACTGAAGATAAAGGTGGTTTGTAGCTACTTACTCCCGACAGGCCAGTAGAAGATATTGGATAATTATGACTGGAATATGATGATCCTTGGGGTGAAGATGGTTTGTTTTGAGATAGTTTTAAAGGTGGACTACGTGTATTAACACTATCTCCTGATAGCCCTAAATTTGATAATGGATAGTTATGGTCTCCTTTAGGTAATACTGAAGATGCTAGTGGCTTATAGTTACTACCTCCTGATAGACCTGTACGAGATATTGGATAATTGTGGTTGTAATGTGATGATCCTTGCTGAAGTAATGGTTTCTTGTTATCATCTCCCGATAATCCTGAAGAAGCTGGATAACTGTGTCCTGATAATCCAGAGCTTCTAAAAACAGATTGCTGATTATAACTGGATGAAGGCTTGTTCTGCAATCCGGAGCCAAATATAGTGGGTGACGAAATACTTAAAGATGTTTCTGGTCTATTTATTACATCGCCTGATAGACGTGAAGAAGACGCCGGATAATGATAATTGTAAGTAGGCCTGCTTATAGCAGTTTCATGAAGTCTGCTTGTAGACGGCTTGTGACTATAGCTTCCCCAACTTCTACCACCACCACTACGCCCACTGCTTCTTGACCCACCAAATTTTCGACAGTCTGTACTCACTGACAAACAAATATAGAAAAAGCACAACAGAATAATTCTGTTGGCCATTATGAGAAACACACACGCACAAGTATTTGTATCAATCTCAACTGATAGTATTAAATCATTTACATTACTATAAACATGCGGCCGGATGACGTCGAATATAGTCGTTCTGGGAATGAAGTAGCTCAATGTGACCACTGTGATAAAAAAGGGTAAAGATTAATTGAACATGGGTGACAGACAACTCGTAATTACAAACGTGCGATTTTATAAATAACTAATTTACACAATAAATACTGTTTACTAAAATGTAAACAGATTTTATTTATTTATCTACCCTTTATTACTCCATAAATAAGAATAATAAATACAGTTAATTTGAATGAGAAGGGATACAAAAGGCGATCTTACAAGTAACTTTTTCAGATTTTTATGTAATTTATATAAAAAATACCAAAGAACAAAGTTTTGATTCGAGGTATAAAAATATCTTATGATAATATCCTATCCTTCCTTCCTTATCCTATAATATGGATAATCTCTCTTGAAAGAAAAAAAATATTTAGTGATTATATTATATTATATTGAAATCATTTTGAGTGATTTATTAATACTAATTTTTATTTGTGACTTCGTCCGCGTGACCAAAATAATTATATTTTGACCATGATAATAAAAAACGTAAGAGTACAATTTTGGTACCGAACCCCAATAAAAGTTAATAAGATCTTTAATTTTTTTTCAAAAATCGAGTTTTTAAATCGTTTTTAGCTAACAATTTGCCATATTTTAATAATGTCAATAAATCTCTCACAATTTCCTATCCCAGTCCCTCATCCAGGCATGAGATAAAGGATTTTATTAAAAAAGTATCGAGTTCCAAGAAGCTTTTGCAACTCTGGGCGACACTGATGTAACACCAGATCAATTACTAGAGCTGTTTAACGTTATTCAAAAATTTACTTATCACATGTATAAAAATGACAGTCAATACAGATCTTTATCATTTAAATTGCTAAAAATATCAGTTTCCACTCACACCACACTACAACCGCAATGTTTACGTCACCGGAATATTCAAAATCTAAGAATCTATTAATAATATGAATGCTAATATAAAAAGTTGCAACAATAAAATATCTTAGTACAAGAATATTCACCGTCAATTGTAACCTCGATTTATTATTACAGCAAACTAAACCATGGGGTCCAATTACTAATACAGCTGATAAACACAATGAGTATAATAAAAAAGGATGCAATGACAATGTTTCGATCACGTGGCTCTTTTATATTTAACAATGAGCTGTAAATCGCGATATAATGATCTTTTACGCTATAATCAAGTCTTATGAAGTCAAAGCCGCTGTTCTATCTCGCGATTCTGTCACGACAGATTACCGCCGCGATGCTCGTTTAGTTCCAAACATGACGTCCGCACCGCATCACCTTTAAAATGTTACTCTGTGTGCTATTCATGAACTTGTTAATTCAAGTGTACTGCGATGGAACCATCAAACAGATGAAGCCGTATATATTCCCTATACCATTTGAAATGCCCAACAGAAATGATCGCGCCGATCAGTGCTGGCTAAGGATAGAAGACGTGGAGATAACGGAAACACTGACGATCTATTGTCGTATTGCCCGTGCGTTCCTTCGTAGTTACATCCCTGAATACAACTTAAGGAAAATGACTGAGGATGACGTGAATGTTAGTGTATGGACTGAAGAATCGAGGAGTCCAGAGGATACTTTAACTAAACCAGAAACTGATAAGAAAACAGTGAAAGACTGGAAGTTTACCACAGTGATGGACCCCCTAATGCATATGAGGTTATATGTGAGTCAAAATGCAGACTGTAGATTAGTCATGTACAGCCGAGATGGGACTTCGAATTATAAGGTCGATTGTGAAACTCTATTATATTTTGTCAATGATCATTTACAGAATAGTGCAGTGTTCTTGCGTGATAATAAGTATCTTATAGTATTATGTGTTTTCCTCATATTCACCAATATTCCAATTACATGGTATAACTAGCAATATCTTTTCCCTATATGAATAAAATGGCAAGTTGTATTTTCCTTTTATGCTTATTATATAATACTGTCCTTTCCTTATCTGCATCGAATTATAATAAGAGATATTATGTTATTGTGGTGACATAAGTAGATCATAATAATGATACAATTTAAATGAAAATAAATATAACCATATAAAAGTTATCATTAAACGAAGTAATTTTAAAAATATTCTTCCAAATATGCCACAGACGTTGAACAGTTTTGGCAGGATTACTTAATCTAATATGAACTACTAAATTAAAATAATGATTGAACAATATCTGTACATAAGAGATATTAAAGAAAAAATTATATCAGGGAATATAAATAGCGTAGAAAAACAATACTTTTTTCAATTTTCTCTGTTTGTCTGTCTCCTATGTTTGTTTCGTCATTACGCATAAACTACTGCACAAACACAAATTAGATACGGTTTTCATAATTATGTTCCTAAAGCTAGAATTTAAAATTGGATGTGTTTTATCTTAATACTTCACCTAGAATTGGTCTATTTCATTAGTTTTTCAACTTCCAAAATCCACGTACGAAATTGCGGGCAAAAGCTAGTTTCCATTAAACCTATAAGACCTTAGTAGCGGCGATACAACGGGATCTAAGTACGCGACATGTAAAAGCAGTGAACCAAACCAAGTCACGCTTGACTTGTGTCCATGTAATTAACTATTGTGACGTAATTGACTGATAGCGAGCAGTAATGAATGAAAGCCTACCAATAAATAGTTCTACTGAATATATATAATAGAAATTACTAAGAAAATATCCTTCATTTACGTAAAGCCAAATTAAAATCTTCAGGTTAAAGACAGGTTTTTCTAATTTATAATATTTAAAACAGTTGACTTTTTTGCATGACAACATTAGAAATAGTATTTATCATAGATTAAGAATAATAATCAGCCGTGTAAGTCTCGGCATAGAATAGGTCACCCCTTCCTTTCCTATGGGTGTTGTAAGAGACGACTAAGGGAACTTGTGGTGAAAGATGGAGAGTAGCAGCTCTCTCTCTCTATCTCGTAAAACACCACCAAAAGTCAAACTGCGGTTGCCAACCCGCCTGCTAAGCATTGCAACTACTGGCAAACCCCCCTTATGGGGGAGTCAATTAACGCCTGATTCATACAACAAGGATAATAATAAATTATCTAAATAGCAACTATTTATTTTATGTATTAATATTGGCAACTCAGTGATATCTACATAAATGCTATAAGGTTTTTGATTATGGCACATAATTTTACTTTCTATCAAATAAGTACCAATACAAAAATCAATAAATTATTATAAAAATCCTACGACTTAAAATTATTTATATACGCATATCATCATCATCATAGGCATTATCTTTCCACTGCTGGTCATGGGCCTCCCCCTTAGACATATAGGACTCCTGCATCCACTGACTCCCTGCAATGCATTTGAGGCCGTCACTCCATCTAGTAGGGGTTCATCCTACACTGCGTTTGCTCATACGGGGTCACCACTCAAGAATCTTTCTTCTCCATCAGTTGTCGAGTCTTCGAGCTATGTGACCAGCCCATTGCCACTTCACCTTAATTATCCTTATAAGTATATAAATATATATAAAAAATAACAATTCTGCCAGTTTTTACCCTGTTTTCCTCTTGTCATGCTTTAAATTACTTGTTGGCAAATAAGCAGTTGTAAATATTCTTCTTATTACTTATTCTTTTTAAAAACATAATAATAAATATTTTGAGTCATTCGACATTGCACATTCAACTAGACCATCAACACAATTCTATAGCCGTGTTACACAGCATTTAACTAAATTTTACGCGAATATTATACCTAAGTAAACGTTAGAAACTGGAGCATAGAGCTCTAAATTAACTTCTTTTAGCATCTAGTCCACGAATTCGATAACAATATATTTTTAAATACAATGCCTACATACGTAGACACACTTGTACATACAAATTCGATGAATGTGTCATGTACGCTGTTATACTTCATCTCTTTATGGAATCATAACTAAATCCTAATTAACATTACAAAATAATTTAAGATTTTATTCCACAAAAAAACACCGACTTGTCAAAACTAGTTATTTTGATTTAAAAACTAAATTACTGAACCAATTTTGATCAAATTTCTATTGGATCAATCTGAAAGTATAAGTCTTTCAGATAGAAAAATAATTTACAAATCGGTACAATTTAGTAAATGACGAATTTCCAAGATAAGAAACATAATAAATACAATCGAATAGAGAACTTCCTTCTTTTTTTAAGTCAGATATAAATGGGGTTTATCTATCACGTACCTAATTTTATTAACAAATAAAACCAAAACAGTCTCACATGAAAAGCATATAACTAGTAAGGTAATATTATATTTAATATCTGGATAAAAACAAAAAATGAAGTCTTACTAGTGCCCGAATTTAATTCACACTTTATTTCAATTAATATTCAACCTCTTTAAACCATGTTTATTAGGTACGTTAAATGCAATTTATAACAAGTATTTATCATGTTCACTTTGTTTCAATAGTCCTTGAGACTGATATCGTAAAAACAGAAACGCACATCACGTGGTATTATACGTTCTTACTCGATAATTTGTTTTTATTCCAAGATGAGTTTGCTGTTCTTGACTCACCTGATGATAAGCGACAATAAGGTCTAAAACGAAGTGTGCTTATTAAAAATACTTATTCAGAGTTGCAGGTTATATTTCTCTACGAGCACAGAAACAGAAAGACCTTATATGTTTGTATTCGGATGATGATGATTAAGCGAACTGCTTTTTTCGAAAAAATTCGAGAATTTCCACGATAAAAAAGTATATTATTATAAAATCCTACTAATAATATAATTGTAAAAGTTTCTAAAAATTTTTGGACGGTTTTACACAATTACAATAGGATTTAAAATATTACTGGAATCAAAGAAGTATATATTGCGTCGCAAATGAAAACGGCAACTTTAATCAACCCAAAATCAATATTTCAACTCTCGATTCTAAAATGAATTATAAAAATCACTTTAGAAACGGCGACGTAATTTAAAAAGAAGTTGAATGAAATTCAGACAAAGTACAACTATCAATCTGCTTCTTCTAAAGGTTGTTTAAAAACACAATAGTATATACAGACTAAGCTATTAAAGCAAGAAACTAAATTCCCTAAGTATTTGTTCTTCAACGCTTAAAACACGCTTAGTATCTAACATCCAATTCGTCTAGTTTACGACACGCAATTTTTTTCTTAACAATCAGGCAATTGAAAAGGTTTTTAGGAGCCTACAATTATGAGGCCACAGTTACCTGATGTCACGCTATTTGAATTTGAATGCAACTACAGTAACAACTTACTCAAATTCTATTATTCTTGTAAATATTTTTCAGTTTTACAATACTGATTTAATATTATAGGATAACTTATTTAAGATATTCGTACTGTCAATACACAGAGACTGTACAAAAGTCGATTGCGTAGCTACCTCTGTCCCATTCGTGTTTCAACCGTGAAGCAGTTGTGTCTGCATGGCTGTGTTTCGGTTTGAAGGATGGGATATGGCGTGAATTTACTGGGTACAGAGGAATAACACCTGAGTCCTCAGGAATGGCAACGCATGGGGGGTATCATGAGCGAAACAGTATACTCTGTTATGTCCATGGTACTGCTCATGTCTATAGGCGACGGTTACTACTTTCCATCAGGTGAGCCGTCAGCTTGTTTGCCATTCTAAGTTGAATAAAAAAAAAAAAACAGTGTCCTAGGCGTATTTAAAGGGAATTGTAAGCCTGCTCCAGGACTATCTTGATTTAAATTAAAAGTATAAAAAATAAAAACAACGTTATAATATAATAAATTTATTAATTTTAATCACATAGAACTTAATGTCTTTAGTAGCATCAGGGATTCACCGTGATAAAAGTACCCTGTCTTCTTCATCGCAAATAATATTTACATATATTGCCAAACATGGCGATTTGTTAAAGTATTAAAGCACCAAGAGCTAACAAACAAACAAATAAGCAAACATACGAACTTACTTTTACTATAACTAATAATACTAGTAAAGGTTAAGATATTAGTAAAGATTATATCACTGCTAAAGCAGACGGTCAGATTATATTCGAAGCAGCTTTTCCTGAAAGGTATATGATGCTTTTATGGTCTTAGGAGACAGGAACAAATGGAGGAACATCATTCGTGAGAAACTGACACGTGTTGAAGGTCACGACCTACAGCCATGGGGATACCGACGTGTGGAACGCATGAAGAATGAGAATTTCGCACTATCTTATCTATACTACCTAATCCTACTAAAGTTTGTTAAGTTTTTCAAATGTTTGTTACTCTGCCCCGCTTGAACAGTTGTATGGATTTAAATGAAACATTGTACATAGACAGATCATAATTAAAATTGATGTCAATTAAATTATAACCTTCCTCAGAAAATGAGTTGTCAAATACAAAGAGATTTTTTACAAAACCGATTGTTAATTCCGGAGCTAGTATGTATACACAAAGTCTGCTGAAATGAAATAAAAATGAGACCGGTTAGGTGCGAGTTGTTCTCACACGCTGAGGGTTCCGTACAGAAATATATAAATATGAGACAAAATTATCTTCATTGTATTTGTCGTACTAAATAGTACTTTTTTTAATAGACCATAATTTTAATTAAAAGCATGCATAGCTAAATTTGTTTTTTTTTTTTTTTATAATTTCTCAAAATCAGCATTTAAAATATAATTATTTCAAATTTCCTGCATCACAAACTTCAGACAAGAGTGTATCGGTATAATTCTACGATTTAGTTCTACTAGTAAAACAAAACGAACTAAAAAAAACCTAGTTTTATTAGTAAGATTGTCTATTAGAAAAGGTTGTCTTTTTTACATTTTAAAACATAATTATAAATATAAATCAGTAATTATAAATCAATTTTAAAATATACAAGTCACATTTCATATGATATACTTGGGTCCCTTTTGGACCTCCCAGCAAAGAATATAAAACTATTGTT